TAAAACCAAAAACAAGTTAGTTACTTCTAAGGCACAATAGGAGTACAGGCGTTGGGTAAATGCTCCCATTCAAAAAGGAAGAAATTGGCCCAAACCAAGGGGCTATAGGCCGCATGCAAGTCCAACATCCAGAAGGGCAGCTATTAAATCATAAAGCTCCTAAGTAAAGTCCTTTGACTCCATGTCTCACATAAAGGGCATGCTGAGGCAAGAGGTGGGCTCCCAAGGCCTTGGGAAGCTCCATCCCTGTGGCTTTGCAGGGTGTAGCCCCTATGGCTGTTTTCATAGCTGGCATTGAGTGACCATGGCTTTTCCAGGTGCATGGTGCAAGGGTCAGTAGATCTACCATTCTGGGGTCTGGAGGATGGTGGCCCTCTTCTCATAGCTCCACTAGGCAGTTTCCTAGTGAGGACTCTGTATGAGGGCTCCAACTCACATTTCTCCTCTACATTGACCTAGTAGAAGTCCTCCATGAGGGCTTCATCCCTGTAGCAGACTTCTGCCTGGGTATCCAGGTGTTGCTATACATCATCTGAAATCTAGATGGAGGTTCCCAAACCTCAACTCTTGTCTTCTGTGTACTCACAGGCCCAACACATATGGGAGCTACCAATGCTAGGGGCTTGCACCTTCTGAAGCAATGACCTAAAATGTACCTTGGCATCTTTTAGCCATGGCTAGAGCTGGAGTGGCTGGAACACAGGGTGCCATGTTCTGAGGCTGCACAGAGCAGTGGGACCCTGGGCCCAGCCCACAAAACAATTTTTTCCATCCTAGCTCTTTGGACCTGTGGTGGGAAGGGCTGCTGTGAAGATCTCTGAAATGCCTTGGAGACATTTTCCCTATTATCTTGGCTATTAACATTTGGTACCTTGTTGGTTATGCAAATTTCTGCAGCCAGCTTGAATTTCTCCCCAGAAAATGGGTTTTTCTTTTCCACAGAACGGTCGGGCTTCAAATTTTCCAAATTTTTATGTTCTACTTCCCTTTTGAACATAAGTTTCAATTTCAGATCATCTTTTTGTGGAAGCATATGAATGTAATGCTTTCAGAAACAGCCAGGTAATATCATCAATGCTTTGCTCCTCAGTTATTTCTTCTTCTGGATACCCTAAATTATCTCTCAAATTCAAAGTTCCACAGATCTCTAGAGCAGAGGCAAAATGCTGCCAGTCTCTTTGCTAAAGCATAGCAAGACTCACCTTTATTCCAGTTCAGAATAAGTTCCTCATCTCCATCTGAGACCACTTCAGCCTGAGTTCATTGTCCATACACGATCATAATTTTGGCCAAAACCATTCAACAGTCAGTAGGAATTTCCAACTTTCCCACATCTTCCTGTTTTCTCCCAAGCCCTCCAAACTGTTGCAACCTCTGCTGGTTACCCGGTTCCAAAGTTACTTCCATATTTTCAGGTATCTTTATATCAGTACCCCACTCTCCCAGTACCAATTTTCTGTAATAGTCCATTTCCACACTGCTGTAAGGAGCTACCTGATACTGGGTAATTTATAAGGAAAAGAGATTTAATTGGCTCACAGTTTCATATGGCTGAGGAGCCTTTAGGAAATTTACAATCATGATGGAATGGAAAGAGGAAGGAAGGCACATCATACATGGTGGTTGGAGAAGAGAGAGTGAGCTTGAAGGGGGAACTGCCATACACTTTCAAACCATCAGATCTCATGAGAAGTCACTCACTATCACAAGAACAACATGGAGAAAACCACCCCGATGATTCAATCACCTCTCACCAGGTCCGACCCCTGTCACATGGGATTACAATTGGAGATGAGATTTGGGCGGGGACACAGAGACAAACCATATTAGGCCTCTCCCTAAAAAACTACACCCACTCATTCCACCATCTTTAAATTCTACTTATCCACTTGCTCTGAGCTAAAATGTTGCTTCTTCAAGGGAAGACTTTCTTGCTGCCTCAACTTTGTCAGGTCAACTTTACCAAGCAATCACTGCATCCTGTCTTGTAACTGTCATCTAGGGTACTCAATCACAGTTACATTTTATAGTTTTATTATCATTTGATTGATGCCATTCTCTGAATGTAGTATGTGGTTTAGATGAAAAGAGATTATCTTTTTGTTCATTTCTGTATCTTTCCTGTCTGGCACTATGGCTTGCATTCCTAGGAGTTTAATAAAAATCTGTTACATGCATGAATGGCCCAGCTTGAGTTGGATTCATGCCTAGCTCCATCACCTGAAGCCACAGGGAATTGAAATCTGAGACCTAATCTACACATTTACCATAAACAACAGATACTGACACAGGCTGGGAGGCTACTCTATAAATGGGACACCATGCATGCTGGGAGTCTCACATTTGTAAGAATCTGGGTATCTTTCTAAGTTCTAATGATATATAGAACAGCCTATAAGAATAAAAAGGACACAATGGAAAGTGTGCTATAAGAAAATGGCTTGGCATTCTTTATCCCCATTGGTACAATGAGGACTTAGTTACTCATTCAACAAATATTTATTGAACTCCCACTACAGCCTGGCAGATAGTAGAAATCTACCGCAAGCAGGATCTACGTCAGAGCTATTTGGTATAGTCCTGCTCCCACACCAATTCTGAGTCTGTCAAGATTTCCCAATTAGTCAGCCTGAGAGTTAAAAATATTCTTCTTGGCCGGGCGCGGTGGCTCAAGCCTGTAATCCCAGGACTTTGGGAGGCCGAGATGGGTGGATCACAAGGTCGAGAGATCGAGACCATCCCGGTCAACATGGTGAAACCCCGTCTCTACTAAAAATACAAAAAATTAGCTGGGCATAGTGGCGCGTGCCTGTTATCCCAGCTACTCGGGAGGCTGAGGCAGGAGAATTGCCTGAACCCAGGAGGCGGAGGTTGCAGTGAGCCGAGATCGCGCCATTGCACTCCAACCTGGGTAACAAGAGCGAAACTCCGTCTCAAAAAAAAAAAAAATTCTTCTTTCTGTGGGTATAAACTCATTTTCTTCTTGATTCTGAGGATCAACTGTCTTTATCCAGTAATATTTTCCAATTGATTGAGCCCTGCTGGACCTCCAGGCCCCTGCCTTCTGTGTAGCAGAAACAAAGGCAAAACTGCCACCAACCCAAATCACAAACTAAAAACCCATCTCCCATAGGTCTTGCTCAGGGACACTCTAGCAGTCTGGATGGAGGGTGCTTTCCACCAGGGACTCCACACTTGCATGTTCTCAGAAGGCAGGCAGGTAGGCAGGGAGGGAGAGAGAGAGAGGGGAGAGAGGGAGGGAGGGAGAGAGAAGGAAGGAAGGAAGGAAGGGAGGGAGGGAGGGAGGGAGGGAGGGAGGAAGGAAGGGAGGGAGGGAAGGAGGGAGAAAGGGAGGGAGAGAGGGAAGGAGGGAGAAAGGGAGGGAGAGGAAGGAAGAAAGGAAGGAAGGAAGGCAGGGAGGGAGGGAGAAAGAGGGAGAGAGGGAGGGAGAAGAAGGAGGGAAGGAAGGGAGGAAGAAAGGAAAGAAGGAAGGAAGAAAAGAGGGAGGGAGGGAGGGAAGGAAGGAAGGAAGGAAGGCAGGGAGGGAGGGAGGAAGGAAGGAAGGAAGGAAGGCAGGCAGGCAGGCAGGCAGGCAGGCTTCTTTTTTCCTAGCTCACACCTCTGCTCACTCTTCTCACTGTGATTCCTATGAATTGAAGATGCTCAGAGCACCTGGCTTTTCTTTCCTGCAATGGTGTCTCATTCGTCTTCCCTGTCTGAGGTAAACATCTGTTGAACCAAATTAACAAGAATAGAGGAGGTGTTATTGACGTGGTGCAGGGTGCTTCCTCTGTCCAGATGCTTAGGAGCCTAGTCTGGGAATTTTCCTGGATGACAGGGAAGGAACAGCCAAGGGGGCAGGATGTGTGATGAGCCACATGGAGTTCTTGGTTACTCAGCCCCTTGGTTCTTGCTGCTGCCCTTTGTGCTTGTCACTTTCCATTTGTTTTCCCTTTGTCTTGAGTCAATTCATATTACTCTTCCTCCCTATTGAGGCATGATGTTACCTGGTAGCATTCCAATTCTGAGGCTGCCTGCATATTAATCTCAACAATGCACCTGTGGTTTCACTCATTCTTACTTTAGCTGTTAATTCAAACAGTCCCATCTGTGCTATGTATTACCTTGTTTATATCAGAAGAAGAGTTGGGAGCAAGACATACTGATTCACACTTCCATTGACCATGGGCCAAGGTAACCAATTTGTCAGGTAATTGATATGCTGGTGAGGGAGGTCACAAAAATGGTGCTCTGGACCACAGGAGTTTTACCTTTTGAGGCTACCTGGTTCCTTGGTTCCTCTAAGGCACGTGTGTGCATGTGTTTTCTTATTTGGGAATATTTTACAAGTGCTCACTTTGTGTCAGGGGTCTATTCACAGCTGACAGGGACCTGGCACCTGCCCCTTTGCACCCTTTTCTTGGAAAGTGGAAACATTTGGAATCCCTAAGTGGGCACCTCCTGGAGTGAGGGTGGAGGGTGGAGGAGGGCTTCCACAGACTCAGTGAATATGAGGTCTGGGAGTGGGGTGGAACCTCTGATTTACCAAACTGCCTAGGTAATTCTGATGTGATCCAAGTTTGACAACCACTTGGTTCAAGGCACAGATGCAGCATGATGAAGAGCAGAGACTTCCCAATCTCAGTGCTCCCGACATTTGGGGCTAGCAACTTTTTCTTGTGGCGGGAGTTCTGGGCACTGTTAATGTAGAATGTTTAGCAGCGTTTCTGGATTTCATTCACTACAAGCCAGTAGCAATCACTCCCATAGTTATACTAGCCCAAACTATTTCCAGATGTTGTCAAGGGTCCCTTGTGGGGCAAAATCACCTGCAGTTGAGAGCCACTGATGTAGAGGACAGAGCAGAGAAGCTACAGTCAGACAGAAAGAGGTTCAAATCTGGTCTCTGTCACTGACTCGACAAAACTTTGGGCAACTTACTGTGCTTCCCTGAGCCTCAGTTTCCTCATCTGTAATCTGAAGAAAATAATGATGCCAACCTTCAGGATTGCTGGAATTTCCAGAGTCAGTGCTCAGCAAAGATAAATGTCTGTCTTCTTTACTGGAGAGGATAGTAGCTTTGGATGACTGCGTGATGGGAGCCTAGGTTGAAGAGCAGGAAATCTCTCTCTTCTGCAGACAAGGAGGCATCTGTGGGTAGAATAGAAGAGTTCATAAGCAAAGAGTGAATGCAGTTGTAGTCTTTGGGGTTGGAATCACAGAGGCCAGAGTGAAGAGACAAAGCCAAAGGAACCTCAGATGTACCCAGGTGCCCACTGACCTCCCTTCTCACTGGCTCTGGGAGTGGCAGCCATAAACCATCTCACCGCCTAAGTGTGCTCTGCAGCCTCATGGCTTCTGTGACCGACTTTGTAGCCCGCTGTGTGACACCCAAGTTACTGAGGACCTGCCAGCCTCGAGTGTCTGCCTGTGTTCCTTCCGCCCCATCATCCCCCGTCCAGCTGGGACCACATGGCTGCAGACCCCAGGGTTCCTGAAGCCCCTGCCCCTGCCTGCCTGCAGTCTGTCGGGTAGAGGAAGGCTGCATTGTCAGAGCGTATTTTTAGCTCGCCTCCTGCTTTGAGCTGCCCCAGTCTTCTGAGGCCTATTTTTAGCACCAAGATGCATCTCCATGTTCAATGGGAAGGTGGAGAATGGCCCCTGACTGGCATGTCGCTTTGCCAGCCCAGCCAAGCTGGCACAGCTTCAGGTGAGATAATTAGGTAGTAAACTAGATTTCACAGTTTGAGCTTTACTGAGCCTGTGGTGATCACCATTCAGGAGAGTTCGTATTCCCTGCACAAGATTTGAAAACCCTCTGATACCATAATGCCCCAAGACTAAGCTTCCAGGAAATGTTAAATAGCCAAGGAGAGAGACAGAGGAAGAAATGAAGGCGGAGGCAAAGAGACCCAGAGAGCCCAGAGGAGATAGAGTGGAGCTAAAAGCAGAGACAAACTGACAAAGACCAAATCAGAGACAGATACCAAGTAAGATTTGGTGATGGGTACACAGAGACAGAGGCACAGACCAAAAGAGGGCAGACTGAAAGAAAAGGAGAGAAGAGAGGCCAGCCCCAACAGCTAAGGCTTAGGGAAAACTTCCAGTGTGCCAGGCAGGGTCCAGAGCTTGTTATCTACACACTCTCTTTATGGTTTTACACCCATAATACTCGGCTGTCAGTATCATTTCCTAAGAGGAGAAGGTGAATAATTAAGTAACCCTGGACAAGTTACTTAATTACTCACCTTCCCCCTCTTAAGGAATGTTACTGACAGTGGTAGGGCAGGACTTGAGCTCATACCCAACTTCAGAGCTCACGCCCAACTTCAGAGCTCACACTCAGACAGCGTGTGCAGTAGGTGGCACAGCCACACACAGGTCCCAGCAGCAGCAGAATGGGGAATAGGGACCAGTACCCACTGCCACTGCAGAGACTGCTGAGCTGTTTGAGTCTGATACCTTGTCTGTTTCCCTGGGAAGACAGCTCCAAAATGATGCTGTTGACCGAGGTGTCAGTGCTGAATTACAGCATTTCCCAAAATGTGTGCCATGCTGATAAGGTCCCTGTGCCACAGCCGAGGCTGCCAGACGTGCTTCATGCCAGAAACCACAGAGATCACAGTCCAGCTGTTTTCACTGTTTGAAAATACCAACTCCCACCATGTCGTTAAGCTAACTGAACAGGCCAACATTTCTCAGGAAGGTGGTGAGGGCAGGGGAGCAGCTGTTAATAACTTTGGATTTGACAATTGTCATTCACATCCTGACCGACCTCCGCCACTGTTCTTCTCTGGAACTACTAGAGCCACCAGCCCCTGCCAAGGGCAGGGAGGATAAATGCTATGCATGGAGAGGAATTATTCTTGCTAATGATCCCCACCTCAGAAAACCTCAGTCCCTGATGAGACCCCCAGTTCATCTTTTTACATTTGTTGAGGCTTCAACCAACAGAAGCAACAAGAAAGCCATTTCCAATGACAAGGGCCTGCATATGTCAACAGCAATCATAAGTCAACCCTTCTGCTACTGGCTCCCACCCCTCCCACCCCCACACAGCCATCCGTCTCTATAAATCTCCTGAGCAGGTAGAAATTTATACAAGAACTGAGGCTGCCCTGTCTGTGGGCCCCTCTGATTACTTCTGACACTTTCAGGAAGAGAATGATAGGATTATTGTATATTATATATGTTTAGCCAGATTTAAGAGAAAATTCCTGGGAAGACAGAATATAATATATTACATACCTAATATAATATATCTAATATTATAATAATATATTATATACACAAATCAGAATATATTAATAGGTTGATGCTTCATGGGGAGATGTATATTGGGGGAGCAGAGAATGGAGACTGGATTCCCCACTTGTCTGGAGCTGTGTTGGGGGAGGGAGAATGTGGAGATCATTTTTAAGACCCGATGCACTGGCAAAACAGCACTGTCATTTATGGCTATCTTGGAACCCTTTGCAGACTTGCTTTCTCTTTTGAAAGGGGAAGATCCTTTCTAGAACACCTGCTTTTAGCAGGGTGACAGGGGTACATGGGAAGGCAGGTTACATGAATGCGTCAGTACAGCAAACCAGTTGTTGAAATGTTAAGCCACTTCCATGCTAGTTAGTAAACAGTATGAGTCTTTGAGACCATAAGCCACCATTTGATGTTGCCTAGCGGTGGCCACAGTGGTGGACAATGAGGTCTGGGAACAGTGGGGACCAGATCTGGGGACCTCGGGCAGCTGCTGAACTTACTGAGATCAATCGTAGGGGTATACGCAACCTTTGCCCCCTTCTCCAAGGTGGCCCACTGTTGATGAGACATGGAAAAGGGGATAGGGTAGGCAGGGTTGGTGGCAGCAATGTTGGGGGACCTAAGACAGGTCCCCAGATTTAGATCATGTGGTAAGAGTTGGCATCAGGTGCACATACAACCACGGTGTGACTTCTGCACAAAGATCCTGACCCTGGGGACCTCCAGACTAGCAAGCGAATAGGAAGGTTATTGGAAGAGCTGATGCCGTTCTCTATGTCCAGTCATAGACAGAGAGGACCATCATTTAGCTAGTGACAGCTGCATCAAACAGACGATCACAACAACGACTTAAAAACAAATCACCAAATAGGATGCCATTGGAGTCGCCTGATGAATGACTTAAAGTATGGCTTGCACCGCTTGGTGAGCAGTTTAAGTTAGAGAATATATTTAAAGGGAATAGACTTAGAAATTCTTTATTGATATATTGACTTGTGTGCTGCTTTATATTACTATACTGGCTATTACATATTTTGAATATTTAATATTACCCTTGCACAGATACAAACACCCCAACTACAGGAATAGTTTCAAGGTCAAAATAACAGACCCAAGCCCGATACCTTGATCCAGCAGTCGGGACCAGTGAGTGTCAGCATGACCATGCAGTAAGGGGTGAGGGCGATGGTCACAGTCAGAGAGGGCTTCCTGGAGAGAGGAATTTCAAGTGAGACTTGGAAGGTCGGCAAAGACATTCTAGGGCAGAACCATTGTGTGTGTGGGGCATGGGGGGAGCAGGCGCTTGGCACAAGACACCTCTCCCTCCTGCAGAGGACAAAGCTGGGAACACAGGGACCCTTGGGGCCTGCCAGTGATTGCACCAGACACTTGACCTCGACAGTCCTTTGAAATCTGGGTAAGAAAAGCCACCTTGGAATCCTTGAAAGGCTGAAAACAATTAGAGTGGTTACCGCGATGGTAAAGGAAATAGGACAAGGGAGAGAGTGAGAGAGTCTTAATTAATAGTTTCTTGTGGCTTAGTCCTGCTTTGATCACGAGGCTGATATTTCCGCAGTCTATTACAAACTTCATTAAGTTTATTTGCCTGCCAGGCGCCTGCCCTTTCTCCCTTCCTGTCCTGTCAAAGATAAATGGCTCCAGAGGCTCAGCTGATCCCTCTTAAGCTTTGCCTCAAACCGTGGGCTGCTAGAGGACACCTGAAGGGAAGCCGCAGCGCAGGAGATCCAGGGGAAACAGCGCATCAGATGATCTCCCTAGTCAGTCTTCCATCACGATGGTGAGACAAGTGTTCATTGCCAGGACACCAATCAGACTTGAATCCCAAGTGCTTATGCATACCTGTGAGGTTCTTCCTAAAGTTGAAAGTGAGCCCATAATGTGGGCTCTGTGGGCCCCAGGCTGTATTCAGGCCAGTGAGTTGTATTGGGCAAACAAGTTACCATGAGAATCGTGGAACGTCCACTTTTAAAGGCAATGGAAAGGTCACCTCCAGCCACCCACCTGCAGCTCCAATCCCTTCTGCACAAGGGATTGCAGACTACACTTAAACTCTTCCAGTGACAGGGAGCTCATTATTCCAGAGGCAGCTCATTCCCTCCTCAGACAGCTCTGACTGAGCCCGAAATCTGTTCCTCTAACTTCAAACTTATGATCCTAATATTCCCAATGGAGTCAATAAGTTTAAAAAGATAACAACAAATTTATCTTCCACAAACTTCATCATATATTTGAAGAGAGAGATTCTGTCTTCCCAGGAATTTTCTCTTTAATCTGGCTAAAGGTCTTCAATTTCATTATGAATTCTTCACGTGGCATAATTTATGTCACTTTAAATATGTCATTCCCAGAATTGACAAAATACTGCCAGACCAGCACAGGAAAGAACAGGACTACCACCTCATTTGTTTTAGATATTATGCTTCTAGTGCAGCCAAGATCACATCTGCTTTTGTGTCAGCCACATTACTCTATTAATGAAACTTCTGAGATTTAAACATGGGCCAAAAATAACAGACTATAAAGTGTGCTAGTTTATCAGCACCAGGAAATGGCTTAATGTAATAGGTAATGATTATGGCTGCTAATAGCAGATAAACAAACCCTGAAAGCTTTGCCAGTTTAGGGGATTGTGGCTCAGTAAACTGATGGTTATTTTTTCATGGTTTCAAATTATATTAATTAATCTATTAATTGATTATGTTTAAGAGAGTGATTTTAGGAATGTTTTGAATATGTTCAAACCAGAATTAACAGGTAACTTGTTTGTCATTAGGACAATCACCCAAATAATAAGCTATTAAATGCACATTAACATAAAATAATTGTGTAAAGAATAACTAAGCAATTAATTACCACTTAATGTAATTCATAGT